GTGTGTGTGTGTGTGTGTGTGTGTGTGTGTGTGTGTGTGTGTGTGTGTGTGATAAAGACCCGGAACTAATAAGAGGTTTCATTACACCGTGTGATGCACACTCTTAATTTAAAAAAATGTATTTATGCATGTGCTTTAGATAGAAAATGGGAGCCAGCATACAGGCTGGTGTGGGAACAATCCCTGTCTCCCTGGTATGAAAATGAGCGTTGCAGTATGCATTCTCACACTTGTAACAAGGGGATTTACCTTAAGACTGCTCAAAGTCACAGGTATTAAAGGCTCAAACTTAAGATAGGTGAGGGAGATGACATCCAAGATGTCTGATGTGGAAAAAAGCTCATGGGCTTCACTAGATCGAGAATATTAAAAAAGATTAATGAGTCCTTTAGATATGAAGAGAGGTAACTGAGAAATGTAAATAGAAGCAAGTCACATTAAGTAGCACATAGCAAGTGTCTGAGCACTGCCGCAGTAGCATGTGTTATTGTAGCTTTCTTTCCAGAACATGTGAGTGTGCAAGTACTTCAGTGGGGGAAATAATTAGTTGATACCCTGCAGAAACTGTTGCATGGCCAACACAGAAAGACAGACAACCACTCACACATAAGAACATGGAGACACCATGCAGAAAGGCTGAAAAATGAAAGATTTGAACCCAGGACCGCTCAAAAGTCCTTAGAGGAATAAATATTATGTAAAAACTATCAATTATTTTGAATGTAATTTAGTGACATAAGTATTTGATCGTGAAGGGAAACGATGTAGTACTGGAGGTTGGAGAAACCCTTGATGCCAAGTACAGCTGTAAGATGTTTCTTATAGTTGGTCATTGGGTTTGCACACATCTCATTTTGGCCCACTCCTCTTTACAGAAACTTTCTAAATCCTTTTGGTTTCTTTGGTGTTGCTTAGCAACTTGAAGCATCAGCTCCCTCCAGAGATATTCTATTGTACTGAGGTCTGGAGACTGGCTAGGCATGACCTGGATGTGATCCTTCTTTGAGTCACTGTCATGCTGTAAGAGCCATCCACGACCCATCTTCAGTGTTCTGGTTCAGGAAAGATCATCTAAGATTTTATGTCCATTGTCCCGTCAGCGTGGTTAGTTATCCTGTAACCAGAAACATAGCTTCAAAGCATAATGTTTCCACCTCCCTGCCTGACTGTGGGGATGGTGTTCTTTGGGTCATGCTCAGCATTTCTCTTTCTCCATGGCGGGCTGAGTTCATGGCAAACTGCTCGGTTTTGGTTTCTTCTGACCACAGCACTTCCTCCCAAACCTTCTCCGAATCAGATGTTCAGTGAAAAACAAAAGATGGGCCTTCTTGAGCAGTGGGACCTTGTGTGTGCTGTAAGTTTTCAAACCAACATGGTTACCAGTGGTGTTCTTGATGATTGTGGTCCCACTGTCTTCAGTTCATTAATAAGCTCCTTCCATGTAGTTTCTGACTTTTTTTAGTTTTATATTTCTTGAATTTCTGGATCATCAGACCAGCAGATCTCACCTTCTCACCAAGTTTCTTGTTGATGGTCTTATAGTCCACTCCGGCCTTATGCAGGTCTGCAATCACGTCCCTCACATCCTTTCACAGCTCTTTGATCTGGCCCTTGGTCGTGGGGAGGTTGGATTGGAAGAAAGTGATTCTATGGATGGATGTGTTTTATACACACATTGAGTTGAGATCAGGACTATCAGTAACTGTGGGAGCTAGAACTGTGGCTGTTTTGTAGTGGATCAAAGTGTTACTTGACTCAATGACATGTAAATTGATCTATAACTTTATGTAATGTGTGTTTTTCTAGAATTTTGGCTGATATATCTCTCTTTATTAAATTAAACTGCCATAAAAATGACAGACTGTTCATTTCTTTGTACGTGAGCAGTTTGCAAGTGAGACTAACAACAGAGCCTTCAACATACAAGCATGCACAATATATTGCACACAAAACTGTATGATGTTGCCTGCAGTAATTCTTGTGGCTGTGAATGTTTTAAATGAATATTACATTATATTTTCTTTGGTTTCTTTGGATTTTTTTTGGTAAACAAAATAAAGGGTCAGCCCTGTAGCATGGTTTGTTTTTAGTCCATTGAGCTGTATTATAAAAGATGTGAGTGCATTAAGAAGGCCAGTCTGGGTAAAGCATGCTGGACTCTGCTACTGCTGGCCAGTTAATGATAGAAATGCAGTCCTGATCTATTACGTCTATAAAAGCTTTTGTGAGACTCTGTGCCCAGCATGTCTGAGCTCAGTTTATTATCTCAGTCACCCTTGACCTTTGTGTTGTGTGCTACTGCGCTGTTAGAGCTTTAAAGTTTTTTTTTTCTGTGATAGAAATGTTTCATTTTGCTGTTGCACTTTTTGCACAGGGTTTTATCTGAAATCTACGAAGAGATTTCTGGGTCTGTAATTTATTATAGCTTAAAAAATTAACCAAAGGTTTCACTAAGTGTTTCTGGACTCTGTGCCTGGCTTCTTCATCAGGATAAAAAATAGAAGACAATCGATGCCCTAAAATTGACTAAAGGAATACATCATTGTCCATGCAACACCCACACCTCTTTCCTGGGAGTTCATGAGGAGTTCACTGACACTCACATGTTTAAAAAACAACCTACAGGCTGACAATAATACATCCATCTGACCTGCGAGATTAATGCAGTGTGTGTTTCAGCTTGCCAGCAGGATGGTCGCGTACCAAAATGTGATAGTTGAAGTAAAGAGAGGAGTCGATAACCTTCCTCCCACACACTTGAGATGTTGATCAAATATGGCAAACAACTCTGCCCCTGTCTTTCTGAACAATAGGTGAAAAGGTTTTCAAGTTTCTTTCTTTCCTTCCTTATGCAATGATTATGTTTTATATACTTTACACTTATATACGTCTTCCATATCGTTTCACTAGATATACCCGATCAACTGCTGATTAATGCAAATATCTAATCAGCTGATCACAGGGCAGCACCTCATTGCATTTAGGCATGTAGTCATGTAAAGATGACTCGCTGAAGTTCAAAATGACCATGGTTGTTGGTGCCAGATGGGTTCATCTAACCTGCTGGGATTTTCCTACACAATCATCTCTAGGATTCACAAAGAATGCTCCAAAAAACAGAAAATGTCCAGTGGGCAGCAGTTATCTGGGTGAAAATGGCAGAAGTCACAGGAGAACGGCCAAATAACCCCTCGTTACGACCAAAGGATGCAGAAGAGTATCACACATTCAACCTTAAAGTAGATGGGCTACATTAGCAGAAGATCACATCAGGTGCCAGTTGTGTCAGCTAAGAGCAATAACCTCAGGTTGATTTTCCAATGGGCTCACTGAAATTAGAAAGTGGACGGCTGGAGAAGTGTTTTCTGATCCGAGTCTTGATTTCTGCCCTGACATTTAGATGGTAGGATCACAATTTGAGGTAAACCATCTCTGCATTCTTAGTACCAACTGAGCATTGTTAAAACCACATCCTACCAACTATGGTCCGTGCAGACACCAGAAGTATGTTTTCTCTCATGTCTGATAAGTGTTTTTTCTTCATTTTTTCATTTTTTAATGACTTTGCCAATCATTTTGTTTGTGTTGATCAGTGTTTTTAAAAGCACAAATGTGTTGAGGTCCCAGCGGACCCAATCCAAAGCATCCAATACTGCATATGGACTTTTAATAAACTGAACAATTTGTCCCCTTAACTTTTGCCATGGATACTACATTAACGTATAATTATCAAGGTGGATATGAGCACTCTGTCAATCATTTTAAAAAAGAAATATTCAGTTGACAATATATTTCTTTCTTTAAATGACATTAGTTGCATAGCTAATAATGCTGCTTTGAGAAGAAACAGGTTCATTCATTCATTTTCATAAACACTAAAAATAAGAATCATCAAGAAGCTTTCAACGCTTTTACATCCTACAAGGCATATACACTGCCCCCGGACCACTGCCGCTATAAAAATCAACTGGTATATGTATTAATCCAAGAAGAAAAGGAGAAAAAACTAGCGCCTGAAAAATGCTATTGTAAGAAATTGTACAATAGATAAACTATCAATACGTACCTATGAGGAAACTGTTAGCCTTGATCTGGGGCAGGAAAGGAAAATCCTTGAATTCCGAGAGAAATTGTTGGATTTATTCTGTTATATTGAAAAAATATGGTTTTATATGATAATAACAGTGTAATTTTACAGGTTATTTTAATCATTTCCAACACTTTGTGAAAGCAGATATGTACTAAAGTCTTGAATAAAACATTCACTTCAGGTAACACCCACCTGAGCACACACAAAGCATGTGTCACTGTGTTTTATGGTTTGGCCACGTTTAATTATTTACTCCTATCTTTCTCAGGCCATACCGGTGTTGATTACCACCTCACTGAGCTGCCCTCGCTCTTCAGCTCCACACCCAATCTAACTCTCATTTCTTTCAGAGGTTGTGGGACTTTTTCAGAGAGATTTAAGGCCTGCAGACCTTCTCTGGATTCAATTCACAGTTGCACTATTCTGGATATAAACATGTCGGGAATGAATAGTGATCAGCTGCATCGCTCCACCTTGGGGATTTACTCGGTAAGAAACAGATATTTTGTGTGGGCCGCGCACTTGCATTAAACAAACTTGATTTCCTCTTGAGAGATTCTTCGGGGAACTGGGGCAAATTTTGTAACATGGAAACATTTCGTGGCTACTGAGGTGGAAAACGTGATGCCATTTTTGAATTCAACGAGCATTCGCTTTCAATTGATAGCAGCAGAGATTTGAATCGTGTGTTGCAGAGGCTCCAGTGTTGAGAGAGAGAGCGGGTGTGCTCATAAATATAAATTGAGTTCAAGATTAATTGTATTGATTCCTCTTTAAGTGGGTTTGTTACATTTTTCTGGCTATCAATACTCAAAAGAAGCTGTGGTAATTGTGCATATGTGTGTGTGTGTGTGCTTTTGTAAACAGAGCTTGATTAATGAGTTCAACCCAGGCCTACAGAAACTGGTTTCACTGGGGAACAGTTACATCCAAGCCTTCAAGAGTAAGTATTGAAAGAAAAGAACAAATGTATGGAAGCAAAAACAAAGAAAAAATCTGCTGCTAATTTTTTTAAATGTTATTTTGGGGAAAAATCACATAACTATCTTTATAACTGCCATAAACTGCAGTTTGGGAGCTGCCAGGTATCTATCTGAGTGCAACTCCAAAGTTCATATGCTTTGGGAATATCCTGGTGCTATTACAGCCTTAGTTATGGGTCTGTAACCAACCAACGTTGTTATGACTACATTATCAGCAGACAAACACGCTTCCACCACTATATTTGATGTGGACATAATGGAACAATGACGCTTTTGTTCAATACAGAACTATTGGATTCTTTTTAGGTGTAGCTCTATATGTTTTCTATAAGTCTTGTAAGAAAGGGAAGAGCTGATTGCAGAGCCAGGATTAAACTCTGTCTTTCAGCTACCTACATCATATTCATCACTCATCCCACTGCTGGTGCATTAATGTGAAGATCTTTAAAATGATGAAATGTAAATGATATTCATTATATTAAGTTAAATGTGTTTGTGTAGACAGCACAATTATTGTATCAAGAATTAATCAGTAATAGCAGTGGTGCATCAACAGTCCTGCAGACATAAGAACTAGATTAAGATGTGTCTCTTTGTCAGCCGCAAAGGGGGGCTGTAAACTTCTTGTGTGTGTTCAGGGCGGAGCCTGAAACTTATAACATGTCACTGAGCTCTTACCAAGACCAGGAAGTGACAAAATTAGAACTTGTTAATTTTACTGTCCCAGCGTCACTTTATAAAATGCAGACTGACAGTAATAAAGCACAATCAGTAATGTTTCACTCTTGAAATGAGCCAGTCTCACACTCTCAGACTGTTTTGCATACTTTTGTTCAACCACTCATTTGGTGCATTACGGGCAGAGGACCTGTGTATATAAATGTTACATTTGAATACAAATAGGGCCGATAATTTTCCATATTCTTATATTTAGCAGCTGCTTTTGAAGTGCCATATCTGGAAAATGAACTGTGCTAAAGAAAACCATCAAACGACTGTGCTGTGTGTGTGTGTGTGTTTGTGTGTATGTGTTTCAGCTCTTGCTGCGACAAGTGACGCTTACTTCAGCGCACTTTCAAAGATTGGGGAGAGAGCTTTCCACACGGCATCATCACGCTCCATAGGTATGTGAGAATCCACAGCTGATGAGTGGAAACGCAAAGACGTTTTTGCACCTCACCAGGATATGAGCAGTTTGTCTGTGATGTATTCGTGGCCATTTATTAAACACATTAAAACATGAGGACCCCAGTTTTCCCCGAGGCAGCATTTTATTGCACTCATAATTGCTGTGCATGCGTAATGTGTGCTTGCGATTAGCTTTGATGTGTGTGTTAAACATAGTGTTTGAAATTATTGAAGGCACTGCATTTCACAGCATTTGCAACAGTCAGTGCACACAAGGACTAAAAGATTTCGCTTAGACTCACCTAATATTTGCATTGGGCTCAAATCAAGTGAAGAATGTGGCAGAACTTTAAACTTTAATTTCTAATTCATAACAGCTGGATGGGTTCAAAGCTAAATTGATGTATGTTTCAGGGAGTTTTTATGTAAGTTAAGAATGTTGGCAGATGGGTGTCAGATGTCAGCGGGGGACATGAATAATAGATGAAGACAGGCTGCGGGCCGTGCTCCGTTCACTTAACTGCTTTATGTCAGCGGTATGACAGTTTAAACAGTTGGAGTTGAAGACCTTGTAGGAACTGGATCATTAGTCTACTCTTACTGTACACTGTACAATGATATAGTCTCCCTGCTGAGGAAATGACAGCCAAGCTGAATTAGTCGAACATTTCCAGAATGTACTGCAATGTTTCAGTAGGCTAGAAAATGATGATGGAACTGGGTTAGAGCTCTTATCAGTGTTTAGGTCCATCCCCTACCCTTCACTCCAATAAATCTTGACAGCAGGAGCTGACCTTTGAGGTTTCTCAGGAAGAAGTTGCGAAACTTTCAGGATGCTATTGCGATTACGCAGAGATTCATTAAAAAGGAAGTAGAGGTGTTGTAAGAAATCAATTCAGTATAGTAACAAGGAAGCTGTATAAAAATGTAAGTAACAGTCAAATCACTTACACTGGTCCTCAAGCCCAAGAGTCAAAAATGAAAGTTCATCTGCCATCCACACAAAGTGGTAAAGAACACTTTATAAAGCCACAAAGAGTAGAACACTAGGAAAACTGTAATATACACAACAGGGTTAGCAAGAAAATAACTTCCAGAGCTAGCAAACTACCTCATTTCAGATCATCATGTCATTTATCATTAGACAGAGATAACTAGAGTCAGCACAGAAAGCAGTTTATAAATGATCTTTTTTTTTTTTAAATAAATCATCTTAAATATTTAAGTTTTACAGGTTTTTGCTACATAGACATTGGCTATGGCTGTTAATACTACACCAATGTAATCACGTAATAGACAAATATTTAAATGACAGAAAAGTTCATTTTTATTTTGTACCATAGCAATTTATACTTTTACCAGTCCTGTATGTGGCCCACAATGGAAAATGAGTTTGGCTTTCCTGTAATAAGGGATAAAAGCTATCTAAACCTACCTGGCCCAAAAACTGATGAAGACTGCCCAGCCATCAGTTTGTGACCTACAGCTCAAACACTCGGGTTTACTCGGGTTATACTGGCCTGATATTGAAATTTGTTTGATTATCTGAGAAACAGTGTACAAATTATGAGAAAAACGAACAAGGAGGTAAATACTTTTCATTGTACTGTAGCTATGTACTTTTGGAGCAGTCCATCCATCCATCCATTTGCTTCCGCTTATCCTTTTCAGGGTCGCGGGGGGCGCTGGAGCCTATCCCAGCTGTCATAGGGCGAAAGGCGGGGTACACCCTGGACAGGTCGCCAGTCTGTCGCAGGGCCAACACATAGGGACAGACAACCATTCACACTCACATTCACTCGCACATTCACACCTAGTGGCAATTTGGATTATCCAATTAACCTATCCCCACAAGCTGCATGTCTTTGGATGGTGGGAGGAAGCCGGAGTACCCGGAGGGAACCCACGCAAACACGGGGAGAACATGCAAACGCCACACAGAAAGACCCCGGCCTGATGTTGGAGTTGAACTCAGGACCTTCTTGCTGTGCGGCAACAGTGCTAACCACCGTGCCACCGTGCTGCCCTTTTGGAGCAGTCTCCTTTCATAAATACAGTTTCCTTATTGTTGTTCTGAATCACTGTTAGTACAGCCTTGAACACGTCTTTATGGATTCGCTTTGAAATAACTCTTACAGCATTTCTTTACCTGCTAATATAATGGTAGTTCCATAATTGTTAACAGTGAAAGGTGGGCCTCTGATGCTGCCAACATTTATAGTTTCAGGGTTGGCTTACTCCTTCGTGTTATTACATGCACCTACATGGAAAAACATAATCTGGGTTAATAAAACAATAAAAAATTAGGCTGGAGCAACACAAAGCTGAAATCAGCCACTTGTGTAATAGTGAGTTGTGAGATCATTCAGTATCTGTGACACAAAAAGGACTTTAGAGTCATGATGGTCTGATCTTATATTAGCAACAACAGAACATGTTTTACCTGCTTATCATTACTGATAAATCTGGTTTTGAATCTGTTGATACCTGATGAGTTTGGAAGTCAAAATGCACATTATATAATTTCATGTTTTTGTTCTGTAAAGATATTATATATTTATAATCCACTCATCTTTCAGGAGATGTCCTGATTCAGGTTTCTGAGAGCCAGCGAAGACTCACCTTAGAACTGGAGGGATTAGTAAGTTACATATTAGTAGACACTCATTGCTCATCATGGTGTTTGACTACGATATAATGAATATGTTCCTGGTTTTTCATGTTTTTAGGGTAACTTTATTTTCTTTGTCTCTTCTCAGTTCCGCTGGTTCAGTTTGGAGGTTCTTGACTCCATGGAAAAAAATGTCAGATTAGACAGAGATTACTTATTGGTGAGTAAGAACAAAACAGAAGGGACTGTAAGAGTATGACAGGATAGGATAAACTGAACCTCTTATGCTTTCCCTCTTATATATGCTTACAATGGTGCTCATGCTAAACGTGGCCAAAGCTAAAAATAATGAGGTCAGTGTATGTCAAAGTGACCCAGAAGACTTCAAACTGCTCTAACAGCTCAGATTATCTTCTCTTGGATCTGTCTGATGTCAGAGGTCTGGCTGTGAACGGCGCCCAACACACCTGCTGTTCAAACCTTCTGTTTGCAACTGGCAGCCAGTCAGAAGAACGCTGGTTTCAAGCCAGGGTGGCCTAAAAAGGCAACAAACTAAACCAGCTTGTTTCACATAAAGGATGGACTGAGTGGCAGGGCTGTAACCTAGTATTTTTTTTTTAAAGGCTTATTTTGAACTGTGAATCATACAAAGTTACTCTAGTAGAGTCCAAAAAAAATAAAATAAAATAAAAAATCAAGCTGGAAATTAATATAACTTGAAAATTGTAGCTTCTACAAATAGATTTTCAACTTAATGTAAATACCTGAGCGTTTGAGATGGTTTTACACAGGTGTGATATGCATTCTCATACAGGGCAGCAGGGAAACGTATGAAATGCAACTCCGCAGCCAGGCAGCAGCTCTGGAGAGACTGAACAGGAGACCCAGCCAGGTTTGTGCGTTTCTCTCCTGTACTCTTTCAGTAGACTGGAGAGAAATTCAGCACTGCTGTTTGTGTATGTGTCCTTGTACAGTTTTCTGTATCCATGTTCTGTCAATTAGGCGTATCCTCAGGGTGGTAGTGAGTATGTGGACTTCCTCAGGGAGAGCCATAACCAGGCTCTGCAGGAGGAAGAGAGAAGATACCGCTTCCTGGCAGAAAAGCACTGTGGCCTGATAGAGTCCTTCACCAAACTCATGAATAAGGTATACAACTTACTTCAAATAGCATTTGTAAGTTTAATATTTATAGCTCACTTTGGCTTACTAACTGGAGATGCTTCGCAGATGAAGTTTACTAATGAATGTCAGAGAAACATAAGATAAGATATAAGATATAATTCCCCAGAGTGAGGTCATCCTGTTTTATAACCATTTGTCAGACTTTTAAAGTTCAAGAGCAGGTTTCCTTCCTACAGCAAGCCTGGTTGCAGGTTGTGTCTTTGAACTCTGGACTCACTTTTATGATATTTGTTTCACTTTTTATGATACCGCTCTACCAACATTTCATGTTAGTTGTTCCTGTTGAGCAGATGTTGGTTGAACCGTATGCTACAACAGGAATAGATAAATAGCTACTACTGTACAAAACAGACCCTTGCAACATATTAAATATGACCTCATAACAACTAATGTTACCGTCATGTGAGAATAAGCAAGTAAGGTGTGGCCACTCTGCTGTATGCCTTTATGATCAGCAGTTTGAAAGCTGCTCAAAGAGATGCTAAAATGCAGTAGATGAATAACAGAGAAAGAATCTGAGGAAAGATGCTCATGAATGATCGAAATCATGAAAGTCAGATTAAATCAGCAGATGTAATGAAGAGACTTGACAGAGTATTGTCTCAAAAGAGACACAGTTACTATTTGACCACAGATTATCTCATGCAATTTAATAATAGATTTGACATGACAGGAGCACAGTTATAGTTACTATTATTGCCAGGGAAAGGATCAATTACTCCCCCTGACATACTGGAGGAGACTAGTGAGAGAGGAGAGAGAGGAGCAAAGGAGAAGAAGCAAAGAGGAAAAAACACAAGGGGAGGGGAGCATAAAATCCACCAAAGCAGCTTAAACATGATGTGAACAAGGAGGCCCGTGGGTTTAGTGGCACCAGGGTACTGGCAGGGGATCCTTCAGGTCCTATGAGGGTTTGGGCCATGTGGAACAGGCTCATTGCAGCTGATCAGATTTTGATCTGGAAAGTTTGTTGTTTGGATCACTTGATACCTTCCAGTAGTCCATTTTGTTCAGGAAGGTTCCTAACTGAGTGAAGTGATGCGTAAGTGTCTGTGCGGCAGACATAATAAGAAATGTTCCAATTCTCCTGGTCCCTAAGAAATAAGCTCCACTACTTCCTTTATTACCCCCTTTAGCACAGAAAACACTGGGACCATCCTTTATGAAAGGAGAGGAGTAAACACCATCCCATAAGTGACAGCATATCATGTAAATGTGAATTATAATTGTGTTTCCCATTTCAAGCCTTAACCTGCTGAGCAATGTTGAAGTTTCAACAACAGTTAAATGCACAGTTGAACTCTGAACATAACACTGCTGTAAAAAATAATCTTCTTCTCATCCCGTTGTTGCCTTACACAACATTGATCTATATCAACTTTCTAAATCAAGATTATGAGCTATATTAATTGAAGTGCGTTCAAGCGTCCGTAGAATTTAGTTTGGTTTAAATGATGCTGTCTTTGTTGTCTCGCAGTACTAACCAGCATTCTACCAAGAGCAGCCCCAGACCCAATGAGGAAGCATGAGAGAGAGTTATCTGGGCCTACTAACCAAAATATTACAGTGCATAGGCGCGTGTATAGTTTCCACTCTCAGAAACCAGTGAGGCAGGTCAGATCAGTGGAGGAGTCTGAAGGATATGAGGGATAACTCTTCTGTTAGAAACCTCTTGGCACTGGGTTTGAAGTCTTGAGGACTGAGACTGAGGCGGAGAGCTGGATTTATCCAGAGGAGAGCTGCAATATTACAAACTATTACACTGTATAAAACTGAAATCTGTGTGGAACAGCTGACCTATAGGATGTGTAGAAGAATGACAAATGTTATTTACCATCAGAATTTGAGCTGCCCTGTGTTAACGAAGGTAACATTCTGAGTATTCATCTAACATAGCGACATAATCTCATTATTAGCTGCAAAAAGCTTTTGACAAACATTTCAATTTTACTCATTAAAGACTGGAGAGAAATCACTCACTGTGTGCGCACTGCTGAGAAACAGCTCTGTCAAGTTAATTTCTGATCTGCTGTGTTACAATACCAGCATTACTGACAAGCAGAAATAAGCCTCTAATTACTCAGGGTGAATTATGAGTCAAGAGTTTTAGGACAGAACAAACTTTTGAGCCATCCATCCATACCAATAACACACTTTGTCTGATAAAATTTACCCCTCTTGTTCGACATAAAGACGCGAGAAGCAACTATGACAACCACGACAGGCATTAGGCTTTGTGGTAGATTTTGTGCAATTTACAATAAATGACGCACAACAAATGTGAGTAAATCACGTTTGCAAATACGTGCGTCATAATATACGTCACAGATACATCATACATACGTCACAGGCCAGCTGCCAAAAAACTCAAAAAAACAACAAAAAACAAAAATATCCACGATGTTCACAAAACTGTTAGTAAATCCAAAAGCTTTTTGTGTGAGAAGGCTTTGGGCTGCCATATAATCTTTGTAAATCTGGCCCTATATGCTCTCTCTTTAAAGTTCCAACCTTTTTGATGAAGTGTTAGTTTTCACGTCATTCTCATTTTGAAGCTTTAGGCTAAGAACAAGTTGTGGTGAAGTAAGACGTGCGTTCTGTAGTTCATATTCTGCACACTGTTGATTCAACACAGTGACCTCACATCATTTTAGGAGACAAGGGTCGTTTGGATGCTCAGCAAACCGCTCTTCTCATGTCCTGCTTCCATACGAATTCTCCTACACACCGCTTGTCATTGACCACAGTGAAAATGTCATCGAGGTCAAGGACAAGTGGTTAGAAAAGGAGATAGGAGGTACTTTTGCAACATACCCTCTTGGGCTCCTTTTTCTGTTCCTTGTGCCTGTGCACCTTACATGGTAGGCGTGGTGGATTTTCCTGTTGGGGTGTACTATGTCTGCAACATAGCTTGCATATAAAGCACAGATGTAGCGAATGTGAACCTTTGTCTTGAATCTTTAAGTCAAACATTTTGGGCATCACCAACTTGGTTTTTAGAAAATGCAGACACTGCACAGCTATTCAGTAGCAACTAACCCAGGGGTCCCCAATCCCAGTCCACGAGGGCCGGTGTCCCTGCAGGTTTTAAATATCACCCTGGGTCAACACAGCTGAATCACATGATTAGTTCATTCCCAGGCCTCTGGAGAACTTCAAGACATGTTGAGAAGGTAATTTATCAATTTAAATCAGCTGTGATGGATCAAGGACACATCTAAAACCTGCAGGGACACCGGCCCTCATGGACTGGGATTGGGGACCCCTGAACTAACAAATCGCAGGGAATTCCCAAAAGCATTCCTGGCATTAATATCTATTTTACCAAAAATGGGGCCATGATTTACAAAATAAATATCAAGTTGTAGTAAATAAGATGTGAAATTAAATATCGAGTTCAGAGACTCAAAAGTTTTTGCTGAGTTCATAATCAGAAGTTGGGATTTTTGTTTTTTTGTTTTGTTTGTTGGCCCCATCTGGCAGTTATTGCCTAATCGCATGAACTTTTTTCACAAACTTTTAATGCCACAGCTTTAACCTTTCCAGATGAAACAGATTTTGGTCTTGTAAACAGAAAGGCATGCTGGTGGCATATTTGTAAGGCAAGACTAATAAAACTACGTTGATTTAAACCTACATTTTGTTTTTTCAAAAGTTGTGCGAATGGTATGTGTAATAGCATCACTCTGAAGACTGTGTTCAGTTTCCTCTTTTTGGCCAAATGAGTATTAAAATAAGCTGCTCTGACCTAAGCTTGCAACTGTGTTAATCCTCACTTACTAATAGGGAAAAATATTTATCTGCATGTGTGTGTGTGTGTGTGTGTGTGTGTGTGTGTGTGTGTGTGTGT